GCTTGCATGTGAAATCAATGACACTGTTCTGTGGTTTCCACACTCAGTTGGGTCACCTTTCTTTGGAATGGGAACAAATATAGATCTCTTCCAGTCCCAGTGAATCTCTCCTTTCATTGCTCACACCAGTCTGTGTTGTTGTTCACAGAGCTTTGGGTGGGGCCTTGTTGGAGACAGTTTTATCACAGTTGCTTGCAACCCGTGATTCAGTGCCAAGTGTACCCACAGGAGATGTCTCTGCTCCTCCAGAGGCTGCTCAAGAGGAAGGTTGAGCTGGGTCCCCTGAGTCAGGACATGGGCTGCTGGCCAGCTCGGTCACCCACTCCCAGGAGCCTCGGCCAAAACCCTTCTCTCTCTTTGCCAAGGTTTTTGTATATGAAATCAGCGGCACCCATTCACTCTCAGAACCCCCCCCCCCATTGCCATTCAGTTGATTCCTCTTCACATTGAGCCTACGGCACTGAATAGAAGTGCTGCATAGAATTTCTAAGGCTGTGTAATTTTTATAGGAGGAGATGGCCAAGTCTTTTCTCCAGAGTAGCAGCTGGGTGGGTTTGACCTTTCAGTTGCATCCCAGGGCTTTAAAGACTGCACCACCAATGCTCCTGCCCTTTACTCTCAAACAAAAGAACTCATTGGTGCAAGAGTCAGAACTGACTCATTGCTGACCCACCAGCAGGTTTGCAGAGGCTATAAATCACATGGGTGATAGTCCTTCTTATTCCCATGGGGCAGTTAGTTGTCGATTCAAACTGTCTGTCTTAGGGTTGGTAGCACAACGTCTTACCGGCTAGTTCACCAGACTTCACTCTCCTTTCCCCCCCTCCCCTCCCCTCCCCTCGACTTAAAATTTCCAGGAACAACTGGGCCCTTGACTATTGCTCTGCACTCCACATGGGTGCCTCTGTTTCCTGTCCTTATATTCAGGATGAATCCCATAACCCAGCCACTCCTTCACCTGCCAGGTGTTGTGTCACTGAGCCCCTGCATTTGTTCTTCCCACTACCTAGAATCCTTTGTTAGGGTGTGGTGTAAAACTCTAGTGGCTTATTGGTAAGAATTGTGCTGCCAACACAAAGGTAAACGGCTTGAATCCTCCAGATGCTCCGCGGGAGAAAGATGGGCAGTCTCCTCCTCTGAGACTGTCTCTGTAAACCCGCTGGAGGTCAGATATGAGTCCTTCTCTCTCTCCCTCTCCCTCTCCAGTACCCAACAACTCTGCCTCGAGACCCGACTCAAATGTCACTAGCGCCGGTAAGCTGGCTTTCTTCCTCCCCCACGCTCTCATCTTTTTATCAAACTGTATGTGTCCTGTATCTTCTATTCCTTCCCTAGATTTGAGCACTTTAAAGGCCGAGTCTAAGTCTCTGTGTGCCTAGTTGAGAAAGTTAACTAAGTACTGGGGTAGTGCTTATCCCTGCGGCTCAGGCGATGAGGGGTTAAGGAAGCCTTCCCTGGAGGCCCCGCCTTTGGAGCGCACCAATAATTATGGGGGGGAACCTCCTGGGAAGCTCTGCCCCTCAGCTCTAACCTCTGACAAAAATCGAGGCTCCCACTCAGGTAAACAGACTGGGAGGGGCCCCAGAAGAGGAGGCCTTGGTTTACTTTACAACTGGGTTCTGCATTTGCACTCAATTCTCCCCCCAAGAACGCGCCTTAGTACAACCCGGGGAATCCCCTGCCGCGGCACGCCCTCTGACGTCACGGAGTCCCCGCGAGGGCATGTCCCCGCCTCGGCCACGCCCTCCCAAGCGGGCGGTGAGAGGGGTGCTGGCGAAAGAGAAAGCAGCCATGGCAGGGCCCTGTGCGCCCACCGTTCCAGATGCCCCCGTTGCCCCGTGGAAACGCCATATTGTGCAGCAGCTGCGGCGGCGGGATCGCACGCAAAAGGCACTCTTTCTGGAGCTGATGCCTGCCTGTGAGTGCACCCCAGGGGGACTTGCAAGACAGCCACTGAGGGGGCCTCGGGCGGGGAGAGGGCTTGTCTCTTCCTCCAGGTGACTCAGGCACACCTTCCAACCCTCTTGTGTGCTGAACCACACTGGTACGTCCACCTCCAACGGCTCAGAATTCGTGATCCTTCCAATGCAGGCTCTGCTTAGAGCCCACCTTGTTACCTCTTCCTCTCTCCCTGGGTCACCCCTCTCCTTGTGTCCTGCTCTTCTCGCCCTTTGAGGCCCACTTGGGTCAGGCAGGGGCGATGAATTTATGAACGGGGTGTTGATTTTTCGGGATCGCTTGTGTCTTCCATGTCTGTATGAGATAGGACCCTTGGCCAATCCCAGTGAAGGTCCGGCCGGACTGCGCAGAGCAGCCGCTTGTTGGTGGGTCAAACGAAGGAGAATGAGTGGATCAGTTCTAGGGAGGAAGTTCCAAGTCCCTGGCTCTGCAACAAATAGGTGGTCATGTTCGGGTTGTGAAGCGCTTGCGTGCCCAGCCCACCCTGATCTGAGAGAAAAGCCCAGGCTGCAAGTGGGAGTTGGTTACGTCCCAGCAGTCTGACTGGCACGGAGTTATTACTGGGCAGCTAGTTAGGGGGGTGTGGACCCTCGCAGAAGGGATGGACAGGTGTGCTCTCCTGTGTGGAGGGCCTCTGACCACCTTCATCTCACTGGAGATCGCATCTTTGAAGCCAAATGTCTAAATACCGTTCCCCTCTCTCCCTCACTGGCCCTGTTCGTGGCTCCTGCTTAGCTTCTATTCTCCCCAGGCTCCAATACCGAAATGGAATTTGCTGCTCATTTCTTGGAATTTTGCTGCAACTTTTCAGGCTGCTGGTTTCTACCCTTCATGGTTGTAAAACCAGTTCTCTGCTTCCAGCCTCACAACACTGTTCTGATGGACTTTGTTGTTATGTGCAGAGTCAGAACCAACTCAGCTAACCCTCTAATGGGTTTTTCAGAGGCTGTAAATTAGATGGGAGGAGATTGCCCGTGTTTCTCTGTTGGATTATTTGGTGAATTTGAACCATTTGCCTTTGGGTTGGCAGCGCAATTCTTTAACATTAGGCCATAGTGGAACCATTCAATTTGAAGGAGTTACCCACTGAACTCTGGGAGCTGTAGAGACTGTCAGTCTAGTCTTGCTCTATGGTAACAGGTAGGTCACAGTCCTGTGTTTCAGATTTCTCACCTATTAGCTGGAGATAATAACATTTTTCTATTTGCCAGGGCAGTGCTCCAGGGACTGAGTGAGGGAAAGGAGCTTAGAATCTAGGAGAAGGCTTTCCATGTCTTGCTCTTAACTCAGAACTGGTGAGAAAAGTGATCATAGATGGGAGTCCTTCATTCTCATTACTGCCAGAACCAACTCAACAGCTGACCCTCCAGCAGGCTTTTGAGCCTGCAAATTGCAACAGAAAGAGCTTGCCCGGTTTTCTACTACAGTCACTTGTGGATTAGAACCACAAGAGAAGTGTGGCCTTTGGGTTAACAGTGCAGCTCCCTATAAGAGCTCTGGAGGGGAGTGGGGTGTGTGTGTGTGTGTGTGTGTGTGTCTGTCTGTCTGTCTGTGGCAGAAATGACCAATCTTAAAGAGGTCTGTAGATAACTGCCCAAGGACTTGGTACTCTGACCTAGGGGAAATCTACCAACTCAAGGGAAGTCAGGATTCTTTTTTTGGTCCACAAAACTAGGGCCCTTGGAGAAGAAGTGGCTTGCCCAAGACCACAGGCAGGAGGAACTCAGTCTATTTCATCACCTTCTTTTCTCATGGGGCCAGGCCCTGATGTGGGGTAGGTGTGAGTTGGTCCTGCTGCTCAGCCATCTTTTTCTCCAGCAGTTGCTGTCTTTATCTTTGAGGGAGCAGGTCCTCTTCTCTTGGGTGGGCCCAGGCGCTAGGACTTTGAAGAGGTTGAATAGAACTGCACCAGTGCCCCTCAGACAAAGAGCAGAGCTGAGTCTTTAGTAACTTCCCAGTCTTTTTGCCCTACACAAGGGTCCTAAAGCCCGACCAGGTAGAGACAGTATGCTGGCAATCTGCTGGAAAATGTTTCTGATCACTCTCATACCCCCAGATAACCGTCTCCTGGAGAAAGCGGAGCTTCTGGCCCAGTTCTCAGAGAAGCTGCAGCCGGAGCCGTGCACTGTCACTCTCACCACCCACGAGGGTCCCTGGTGAGTGTATGTGTGTTCATGGCCACAATGGGCTGCTGTGTTTGGGCCCTGCCCCCACTGCCTATGCTGGGTTCATTCTCTCCCTGGCACCTCATAAGCTCCTGGCTGCTGCCCAGGGGAGGGGGTTGGTGCTGGCTCCCAAGCCTTCTTCCAGGCCAGCTGCTTAGAGTGGCCTGCCCCGCCCCCACTTACCACACTCTACCACTGCATCTGCCCTGGTCTCTCCACTCCCCTCCATCTCCATCTCCTCTTTCCCCCTTCTTTCTCCCTTTTAATCCCTTCTCTGCAGAAAGGGTCTTGTTACCTAGTTCAAAGAGGGGGTGAAGATGAGAATGAGCACTGGGTTTGGAGGTGCTTCATGAAGGGTCCTTGGTCAGAGAATTCAAGTCCTGAGTGATTCTGAGAACAGAGGAGCCAGGGACAACTAATGCCTGGAGACTTGCTCTTTCCTCTGGAGAAAAGAGAAGGGTTCCCAGGTTCAGACTGCATGCTTTGGGTGCTTCTGGGCCCTGGAGCGGACGGAGAGGTAAAGAGAACCACTCTCTGATTGTTTGGCAGGGAGGAGGAGCCCGGGCCTGACTCAGACCAAGTGCAATCACCAGCCACTCTAAGAGAGAAGTGGCAGGAGGAGGAGGAGGGGCTTCGGCTGGTCTGTGGTGAGGTAGGCAGGGAAGAGAAAAAGTGGGGAGGGGTCCTGAGGGGTATTCAATTCAAGGGGAGCCAGCAGGTTAAGTGAAGGTCACTGTTGTATTCCCTAAATCCAATGGCCAACTTTGAGTTACTGAGCCCCAACTGTGTACTAGGCCCCTGCTTGGAGCCTGGCCAGGGCTCACAGTGTTGCCTCTAAGTGCACCTCTAACTGCTCTGGGTAAAATGGGGTTTAACTTCAGCTGAAGGGAGTGAGGTGAGATCTCAGGAAGAAATGAGGTCTGCAGGGGGCCTGGCACCCTGCTCTTCTCCTGGAGGCCCACATGACTGGTCATCTGTGCTTCTTCCCTGAACAGGAGGGCTTAATCCCTATATCTGATGTCACACATTTGCAGACGGTAAATAAGGTTGTCTGACTCCATCAGGGAGCTCTGGTCGCCTAGGGGTAAGCAGTTGTGCTGCCAACTCAAAGGCACACAGTTTGTGTCTACCAGCTGCTCTGAGATAGAATGATGAGCAATTTTCTCCCATGAAATTTACAGCCTGTGAAAAACCAGCTGTAGGGTCAACTATGAGGTGGTTCTGACTACACAGAACATAACGTAACACACACCCCTCCAGGCCACCAGCAGAGTGTGGTACCACAACTCTGAACGTCAATGTCTGCCTATTTTTCTTCTGGTCCTCCTTCCAAAAGTGTGGGTGTTCTCTGCAGCTTGATCAGGGCTCTGCTGTCCTTTTCTCTGCAGGGTGAGCTTACTGAGTCACAGAGCTTCAGGGACTTTCTTCCCTTTTTTTTTAATCACCTGAATTTCATAATCCAATAAATGACAAAAAAGACAAAGAATGAAAACAGCATCATTTAATACAGCAACTTGGTTTGGCTCCCCCTGGATAAAATGTTCAGTCTCCCCATTGTTTTACCTAGAAATCCATTATAGAATTAAATTATGAGTCCATAAATGCTAATAATTTATTTTGATGTTTCACTTCATGGCCTATTTCAATGGAAAGGGACTTTATAGCAGTTATTTTGTTTCTCCGATTTTCAATGAGTCTCTCATTTTCGTCTTCACAGGCATTGTACTCAGTATTAGCATAGCCATAGTTCCCATAATTCCCAGGAGGTGCTCCTTCTTCCAGGCCTGCACACCTGCCAGCGAATGGAGAGGAATGGCAGGAAAGAGGGCAGGAAAGGGTCAAGAAGGCACCCGCAGACTAGCAACTTCTCCTAAAGTGCCAGGACATCAGTCGGGACTTTATCAGATCTTATATTCTAGTCCTGCCCTCTTCTTAGCTCGACTGTCTCATTCAGCTGCTTTTGGAAGATTGCAGCAAAAATCAGACTTACTCTCTTCCCTGTAATAATATGACCCAAATCAGAGCTGACCTGCCAGTACTGGGTTAAACACTGTTTCAGTTGATCTGCCATAATTTTATGGGTAGAGGTGGAAACTGAGGCCCCTTTGTATAACTGGGGTAGCAGACCCTGCCCTACCAGCCTCTCTCCCAAATAGGGGGGGTCCTGGGGAGAGTCCTACCCTATGCTCACCTGTCCGACTCCTCCGCTGCCCCCAGATGGCCTACCAGGTGGTGGAGAAGAGCGCTGCCCTGGGCACCCTGGAAACGGAGCTGGAGGCCAGGCAGAGCAGGTGAGGCGCCAGAGGGTGGGGTGGGAAGGGCGTGCTCCCCTCTCGTGTGAATCCCAGTCTCCAGAGGACCCGGGAGCATTCCCTACTCCCTCAAACACCCCTCAGGCTTGTGGCTAGCTGTGGAGGAGGCAAAGGGTAGATCTCTGAGGGCAGGAGCCTTAGCTGGAGGCTTGGCTTAGCCCTTGGCTGGGCGCGTGGCCATGGCAGATCTGTCTTGGCTGTGAGACTGGTTCCCACAATAGTGATGGAGAAGCCTCTGGACTGACCGATCCCCTTCTGCGCCCCCTCTAGACTGGCAGAGCTGGAGGCCAGCGCAGCGCAGCTGAAGGAGGCGAGGGCGCAGCTGGCAGAGCAAGTGGAAGCGCGGCAGGCGCTCAACGCCGCGCAGCGGGAAGCCTATGCTACGCTGCACGCGCACGCGGGGCTGCAGGAGGCGGCACTGCGCAGGCTCGAGGAGGAAGCGCGGGACTTGCTAGAGAGGCTGGTGCAGCGTAAAGCACGTGCTGCCGCTGAGCGCAACCTGCGCAATGAGCGGCGGGAGAAGTAAGGCTTGGGCCCCGCACCCCTTGGGGGTATGACCCGCCCTGCCCCCTGCGGGAAGGTCTGGACATGACCTCGGCCAGAAAGGAAAGTGGGATCTGTCCTTTCTGGAAAAGGGGACCAGGCTATTCTTCCAGGGGAGGAGGGAGGTGAAGGAGACCCTGCTTCGCCCTGGTGGCCTCACCACTTGAAGAGTTTTTCATCTTCTCCAGGGCCAAGCAGGCGCGGGTCTCCCAGGAGCTGAAGAAAGCTGCAAAACGGACTGTGAGCATCAGCGAGTAAGAGTGGGGATGGGCCAGGACTTGTTCAAATTGAGACCTTCAGCTGTCTGATTTACCCACTCCACCCTAGTCACCCCACCCCAGCCCCAGAGCTATCCTGCTGTCAGGCCAATCAATGCCTGTATTCCCTGATTATAGGCATATCTGCATGTGGTGGCTCAGCCTCGCTCACAGGATTCCCCCACCTGTGTGCCTACACTGATTCACAGTGTCAAGCGCTGGGACTAGAGGGTCTATCCTGGCCCCTTAACCTGCCTAAGCTTTGCTTCCTCTCTCAGGAATCCAGATACCCTCCGCAATGGGGTCAGAAATGAGACGGAGATTCTGGCCTTGGCAACTGAGCCTGAGTCCCTTGAGAGTGAGACTTGTGAGAAGTGGAAGAGACCCTTCAGGTGAGGACTCAGTTGGCTGTCCCTGAGCCCCAGACTGGCTCCCACCCTAGAGGCTGACAGTCTTCCTTTAGGGTCTCTGACCAGCCCTTGGATTTGGAGGGAGCTGAGGGAGACTGGGGTACGGCTTGGACGTCCCACAGGTCTGACCTTGAGTGTTCAGTGCTACTTTAGAGACTTCAGCTATGTTCACTCCTTCTCCTTCTTCCCAGGACCAGAGCTCAGAGGCTGAAGAAAGGGTATCACCATGAGGGAACCTGTGGGCAGGGCCAGGGCTCAGCTGCCACGGGCATGTGTGTGCAGGCACAGGTGTGCAAGCGTGGGCATGCATAGGAACATGAGTGCATGAGTGTAAGGCCTTGAACGAGAATACCTGAGTCTGTTTGAGCACATGGGCATGCGTAGAAGTGTGCTGACATGGGTGGAACCTGGCTGGGGCTTCTGGTGCCCTCTCCCCAGTCTTTGCATGCCCATACATTCTGTCTTGATTTGCCTGTCAGTGATGCTGCCACCGAGCTGATACCCTAAGACCCTTCCATTTTAACCTTTCCTTGCAGGGTGTCCCAGTCTTGGGTCAGTTAAGGAGTTGAGGAGGGACATGAGCCACCCTACTCCTTCAAGTCCTTGGCAGTTCTAATGGGCTAAGTCATCCCAGGATGCCCTCTTGAGGTCACTCAGCAGACTTCCTTCAATACCCTGCCCCAGCCTTGGCCAGTTCCAGAGTGGAGGGACTCTCAACCCCTCCCTGCCCCAGCAGAGTGCTCCTTGGAGGCAAAGATGCTTGTTTATTGTTGTTATGTGCCGTTGAATCTTTTGCGACTCATAGTGACCCTATGTACAATAGCCCTAAGCCCTGCTCTATCCTGTGCCAGTCTCACTGTCTCTGACACACTCACTCACATTACCCTAGTCACTGAATCAATCCACCTCATATAGAGGGTCTTCCTCTCCTGTGCTGTCCCTCCACTCTCCCAAGCATGACATCTTTCTCCAAAGACTGGTCCCTCCTTGCAACATGTCCAATGTATGTCAGATGAAGCTTCAGAATCCTTGCCTCCAAGGAGCATTCTGGTTTAACCTTCTCTAGGTTGAACCTGTTGGTTTTTTTCTTAGCAGTCCATGGTATATTCAGTACTCTTCTCCGGCACCACAGCTCAAAGGCATCAATTCTCCTATCCTCCCTAGTCATTGTCCAGCTCTTTGACACATAGCAAGTGATTGCAAAGACCATGGCCTGTATCAGGCACAGCTTGGTCTCCAGAGTGACACCACTGCTCTTCAATACTTTGGAGAGGTCCCTAACAGCAGACTTTCCCATCGCAATATGTCTTTTAACTTCCTGGCTGCTGGTGCCAAGAGTGTTGACTGTGGAGCCAAGCAAACTTGCAGAAGGACATCATGCTGTAGAGGGTCAGTGAAGAGAAAGACCCTCAACCACAGGTGGATTGACATAGTAGCTGCAGCACTGGGATTGAGAGTGTTGGAGATTGTGAGAATGGCACAGGATGAAACAGGGTTCAGATCTTTTGTTCATAGGGTCACTATGAATTGTTCTTGATTCAATAGCACCTAACAACAATAACAACAACAAGCTGCAGCTCAGCCTCCCAAAAATGTCTGTGAGTACTTACAGCAGGGGCAGTGCTTATGATGGCAGAGACTGGGAGACTTTTATTGTCAAATAACTCCCTGCTTCCGCCTTCCCAGACTGGTCTGGGTCATTCCTGCTCGGCTGATCTCCAAGGAGTCATGTTCCTGTCCCAGGTCTGAGAGGCTGTGACTCTCCAGGTTTTTCACAGGGTATAGAGATAATGATGCCCTGGCCAGGAGCCAGCCCCTCAGCACATCTCTCTCATGGTTCCACCCCAGGTCTGCCTCCGCCACCTCCCTGACGCTGTCCCGCTGTGTGGATGTAGTAAAAGGTCTTCTGGAGTAAGTGTGTGTGTGCTTGTGAGCGTGCAGCCACACATTGTAGGCCCCTTGGAGCTGTTTCAGGCTCCTCTAGGCCATGCTTGGTGTCTGTGGTCTATGTGCGGAGAGGTCTGTCTATTTAGATGTTGCCCAGCTGTCTGCTTGTCTCTGCTGGGGCTTAAAGGCAGGCCTGGGTGTCTGGCCTCATCTACAGCCCCTGCCCTGTCACCTAGGCTCTGTCCCTCATCCAGAATCTCACTGAGGACCAAGTGTCCCAGCCCAGGCTGGACAGGAACTACTCCTCCAATAGGAAACAGGTTTAGGTATGTCAGGGACTTTTTTAGGGTCACAGAGCCAAGAAGTGGCAAGGCCAGGATTAGAATCCTAGCCTCTAGGTTCCTTTGTACCCACTGACCCTGCCCTGCTTCTGCCTGTCTGTGTGTCCCCCTCCCCAGTCTCCACTCCGGCCCCCTGGGTGGAGGCTGTGTTGGGGAGTGTGCTCACTGCTCCCCAGAGCCTGCTCCACCACTGCCATGTCTGCTTCCTGGTGTTGCTGCCTCGGAGGAGCTTGAAGCTCCCACCCATGTCAGGTTTTGCTGAATGTCCTTCTGGTCCCCTTCTCCCCAGTTTCAAGAAGAGAAGAGGCCATTCAGTTGGGGGAGTTCCTGAGCAGCGATACCATAGCATCCCACTGTGTGTGGCTGCGCGACTTCCAAGCTGGGCGCAGGATGTGCTGGTAAAAGGGGCCTGGACTACATGCCTGGAGTCTGAGATAGCAAGTGTGGGCCCTCGGGGTGGTCTGGGGAGCCAGGGAGGCAGAGCCGAGATCCTCAGCAGGAGCAGGGGGTCTTCGTTTCACAGTTCAGGGTTTTATAGTGGGATGTATCTGAGAGGGAGAGATAAGAGGTGGGGAGACCAACTGGTGGAGGGAGGTGGCTGCAGAGGTCTGGGTCCAGGTGATGAGATGTGGAGCTATGTGTACTGGGGTGAGACCAGCGGCAGCCAGCAGTGTGCTCGTGTGTGTAGGTGTATGTGCGTGGGAGCACTGAGTTCCAGTTTCGCCTTTGCCCACAGGATGCCCACCTCTCTGAGGTCAATGCTGTTTGTTTTGGTCCCAATAGCAGCCTCTTAGCTACTGGAGGGTCAGACCGCCTCATCCGCCTCTGGAATGTCGTGGGAGGTAAGGATCCTTCCCCTGCAGGCCAGTCCAATGTCAACCCCATCCTCAGCTTGCTTCTTGGTGGCCAGAGGTCTTGGACATTGTGTCTCCCACCTTGAGACTATCTTGTGAAACCCTAAAAACCTGGCAAGAGAAAGGCTTGGACCTCATCCCTCTGAAGAAGGGGAGCCTCCAACCCCTGGGACTCGGACCTGCACAGAATGGGCTGGGCTCAGATGATGATCTCTGTGGGGGAGATGGATCCCCTATCATAAGGTCTTATAAGAAAGGGATTTTGAGGAAGAAAGACCCTGAGATGCACCTGGCTGTCTGTTGCCCTTGAACAGCCTTTAGCTTTGTAGAAGGGATTTGTTGGGCAGTGAGAATCAGTCCTAGAGGGTCCTTGGAGAGGTGAAGTCTCCAGCTGGCCTGGCCCAGGCTTGCTATGTGATTCTAGGCACTGTCTCTTTGATGCTCTACTGCTGCCTGGGAAATGATCCTTGGGCGCCCCTTGCTGGCCACTAGAAGAAGTGTAGCCTCATTTCTAGAGGCTGTAAATCGTATGGGAGAAGACTGCCTATCTTTCTTCCACAGAGCAACTGGTGGATTTATACCACTTGTCTTCGAGTTGGCAGCACATCTCCTTAAACAATTAGGCCACCCGAACTCCCAGCCAGCCTCTAATCTGGACCCTCCAAACAGACCAGTGATTGTCTTCTAGCTTGGGAGAGAATGGACTTCCTACTCACTGCCCCATCGACTCCATTTCATGAGGCTGGTGACCATGTTTAACCTGTTTCCATTCCCTCAGGCCGCCTGGAGGACAACCAGACCCTGGAGGGAGCTGGTGGCAGCATCACCAGCTTGGACTTTGACCCGTCGGTGAGGGGACTTTGCCTATTTCCTTGCACTCCTGCCCCTTTTCCACTTGGGGTGGGTGGAGGTGGGAACTGGGTCCTGAGGGAGTGTCATGGGGATCCTTGAACTGGGCCCTCTGACACTTGTGCAAATCCTCCTGTGAGCCCAGACTCCACGTCATGATTTCCTGGTGACCTGAGAGTGTGAGAATCTCTGAGGCATCCCCTGTCCCAGCTCTCTGGCCTAAGGGAGGCTGCCTGTGGGCAGGCCCACGTCCCAGACCTCTCTTCTTTGTCTCGTTTATCCAGGGTTCCCAGGTATTGGCAGCCACTTACAACCAGGCTGCCCAGCTCTGGAAGGTGGGGGAGTTACAGTCCAAGGTGAGCTGACTAGAGAGGCAGCCTGGGAGGGGAGGGGACATGCCTTAGCACTAGGGTGGATGTTAACTGGTGATAGCTCTGCCCTGATTCATACCTGGTCTTCGGGGTTGGGGGCCCAGGAGACACTGTCTGGACACACAGACAAGGTGACAGCTGCCAAATTCAAGCTGACAAGGCACCAGGCAGTGACAGGGAGCCGAGACCGAACAGTGAAGGAGTGGGACCTTGGCCGTGCCTACTGTGAGACCCAGCACCAACTTCCCACTCCCTGCCCTGTGGGAAGCCCTGCACCCAGATATGAGGGACCTCAGCCTGATCTTTAGGGTTCCTAGGGTGAAACATCCTCATGTCCTCTATGCTTGCTTTCCGTCTGGGCTCTTAAAGTCTTTGGGTGGGTGCATAAGAAGTGGAGAGAGTGCTGGTCTGGGAGGTGAGAGGCCTGGTTCTAGTCTTGGGTGGGGACCACTCCCTGGACATCAGCGTCCCTGTGTACACAGAAGGCTGGCTCCTGACAGCCCTCCTTTGAGGCCTGAGGAGGGCTCGCTTCTTGGTCCCCAGGTTCCAGAACCATCAATGTCCTTTCCTACTGTAATGATGTGGTGTGTGGGGATCATATCATCATTAGTGGTCACAATGACCAGAAGATCCGGTTCTGGGATAGCAGGTAACAGGTGGGGCTGGAGGGATGGACCCCTGGGATTGGGCACCCACTTTATTTTTAATGATTCTCACCACTGGGCCAATTGGCAACATTAGGATGGATGGTGAAGAGATTGAGATTGTTCACAGCTTTAGTTTGCTTGGATCCATAGTCAACACTCTTGGCACCAGCAGCCACGAAGTTAAAAGACGTATTGCCATGGGAAAGTCTGCTGTTAGGGACCTCTCCAAAGTACTGAAGAGCAATGGTGTCACTCTGGAAACTAAGGTGTGCCTGATACAGGCCATGATCTTTGCAATCACTTGTTATGCATCAGAGAGCTGGACAGTGACTAGGGATGATAAAAGGAGAATTGATGCCTTGGAACGGTGGTGTTAGAGAAGAGTATTGATTATACTATGGACTGCTAAGAAAATGAACAGGTTCAGCCTAGAGAGGGTTAAACCAGGCTGCTCCTTGGAGGCAAGGATTCTGAGGCTTTATCTGACATACTTTGGGCATGTTGCAAGGAGGGACGAGTCCTTGGAGAAGGACATCATGCTTGGGAAGGTGGAGGGACAGTGCAGGAGGGAAAGACCCTCTATGAGGTGGATTGATTCAGTGACTGGGGTAATCGGGATGGGTGTGTCAGAGACAGTGAGACTGGCACAGGATAGAGCAGGGCTTAGGACTGTTGTACATAGGGTCGCTATGAGTCATGGGCAACTTGATGGCACTTAACAACAACAACATGGAAAAATCAGGGTTATTTTTTCAGACCAGAGAGATAGAGCCCCTGGAGACCCAAGACGACTGGCAGGTGGAGTCCCTGGCAGTGGGCAGTGGGCTATGGGCCTGCCCTGTCAGCTGGAGGCCTCTCTGCTAGGCATGGATCCTTGTGCTCAACTGTCCCCAGGAAACTGTACCCCTTCCTCAGTGGCCCTTGGTGCAGCTGCTGGACTCTGGATGGGTTTTGCCAACCAAGGTAGAACATAAGAGTTCAACTTAAGTTTCAGTGCTTTCCTTCTCTACTTAATTTTAGCAATCCAGGGTCTTAGGGACTCTACCTCACCAATCAAACGCAGCACAGGGTTCTCACTGAGAGGCAGGCTCATTAGGGAAGAGGGCGAAAGTTGTGGTCACAGTCTGTTAGCTGGGAAAGCTCTCTGCCCAGCCTCATCCTGCTAGAGGTGGCTGTTCCTCATCCCTGTTCTGTCCTTGCTCTGCAGGGGCCCCCACTGCACCCAGGTCATCCCCGTGCAAGGCCGGGTCACCTCCCTGAACCTCAGCCATGACCAATTGCATCTGCTCAGCTGTTCCCGTGACGACACACTCAAGGTCATCGACCTACGTGTCAGCAACATCCGCCAGGTGTTCAGGTACCAGCCCCATGCCCTCTGGGGCTGGGAAAGCTGGGTCTTCTTCCTCTGTAAGAGGTCCCTGTAAGAGCCCTGTGAGCTGGGGCTGCCCGAGGGCCCTCTGTGACAGTCTGCTGGGATTCCCAATGCCTTGAGAGAGAAGCAGCTCTCAAAGCTCCTGGCTGAGTGGCTGAGGCTCCTTCCATTGTGACTTTAGCTTTTGTCTGTCTTCAGGGCTGATGGCTTCAAGTGTGGCTCTGACTGGACCAAAGCTGTGTTCAGGTGGGACCGTGAGAGTGTGTGCCTGTTCCTGCTGTGCCCCATCTGACTCTGTGTGTGTGCACGCCTGTTGGTTCTCAACTCTGATTCCCTTTTCTCTTGCACTGCTGTGGTTACTTTAGCCCAGACAGAAGCTATGCCCTGGCAGGTTCCTGGGATGGAGCCCTTTACATCTGGGATGTAGACACTGGAAAACTGGAGAGCTGCCTTCGGGGACCGCACTGGTGAGGATGATATGACCCACCCAACACCTCCTGCTACACTGATCCCAGAGTCTGACAGGTTTGGGTCCCTGGAATGGCCAGCCCTGTCCTGGACCCTCCCTCCCACCAGAATCCTTCACAGCTCACCAGTTGCTTTTCCTTGTACACTAGTATTCCGTCCTCATCACAGCCCATTTTATAGATGAGGGAATGGCCGGAGCGGGGCCTCAGATCACCCCAGTCTATCAGGGAGGGGCTGATCCCTGACGTCCCCTGAGGCCTTCCTTGCCTGTCCCTCTCCTCAGTGCTGCTGTCAACGCTGTGGCCTGGTGCTATGCTGGGAGCCACGTGGTGAGCGTGGACCAGGGCAGGAAGGTTGTGCTCTGGTCCTAGGGTCAGCGCTCATCCACAGGAAGCTGGAAGATGGCACTCACTGTTGAAGAGGTCCAGCCTCCAGAGCTCCCTCCCTTCGGCCTCCAGCGGCGTCTTCCAGAGCTGGCCTCTAGAGACAGTCTCTAGGACAGGCCAGAGGGAATGGGGGTAAAATGGGGCATAGGCGGGGGGATGGCCTCAGAGGACTTAAAAGGGAAGGGGAAGGCCTGGCAGGACTTGGCTTGTTTGTTTAAAAATGGGAGTATGATGGGAAAAAATATTTTAAAATAGGAATATAATTTTTTTTAACTCCAGTCTCTTTATTTCTACTCAGAAACTAAAAACAAAACAAAACAAAAAAAAAAACCCCAACAACAAAAAAACCCAATGTCTGCTTGCTTCATTGTAGCAGTCAGGGTATGGTGGGTGGGGAAGATCCAGGCTTGGCTTCCTGCACAGAGCTGGGAAGCCTGTGGAGACAAGTGATCCCTAACCAACTAATGGAGAAACAGCACAGAGAAAAGCCCAGAGGAGCAAAGGACAACGGGCTCACGGGGCCCACGAATGTCACCCTGTGCCCAGATTAGTTCTGAGGAAAAATAAACTCTTGGGCCTCCCTGGGGCCAGGCCCTGGGTAGAAGAGTTTCTGCTTCAGGTATCTTGGGCAAACTGAGGCTGCAGAAGGGCTGTCAGAACTTCAAGGAGAGAGCAAGGGAGGTAGCCCAGTGGGCTTCCCACTCTACCTCTTGTAGAATTGTGTCAAAGCACGTGGTTGCAGGTGTCAGGTCCTTACTCCAGGGGCAAAGCTCAAGGGGATGGAGAAGGGCCTCTGTGTGTGGTGGTGGTGGGGCCACTATAGGCCCTGCCTGAGCCAGAAGCTTTGTTTACTTTGCATCAAATTCAAGCTATAACAGGTCGCTGAACAGGAGACAGACCAGACAGGGCAGGGCCTATTCCCTTCTCCAGCCTGTGGCTAGATGCTTGGCTAGAGCTCAGGGCTGTGGAGACAGATATGGGGATGTAGGAGTAGGATGGCCACTGCCAGTCAGTGGAGCAGAGAGGACTGCTCTTCCCCAAGTGAGGGAGCTGACCTCTGGTGGTCAAAAATTGAAAGGTGGCAGGTAGAACATTTGACTTTTTAAAGTTCCCCATGGGTCTCTTTCCTAGTCTCAGGGTTTTGAGGTGACTCACATTTCCAGGATGTGTAGCAGAGGATGAAGAGTGTGGACTCACGCTAGACCGGCCTGTGTGTGTTTGAATCTCAGCTCCACAATTTAGTATCCTAATGTCTTAAGCAAGTTATTCAATATCTTTGTTCCCTAGTTCCCTCATTTGTAAAACGGGATAATAGTACCTCAGTGGACTGTTGTAAGGATTAACTGCTTTAATGCTTGTGAAGCCAGAAACTCAAAACCCTCTGGATGCGACCTGCTGTCTTCTCCAGCTGCACCTTTGTTTCCTTCCATTTTGAATGTTGTTGCACTTGTTTTTCTCACTGCTTCTTCCCTCCCAGCTTCAACTCCCCATTTGTCCATCAGAATTCACTAAAGTGTTGGACTCCATTACCAGCTGGGAACCCGAGATGGCCATGGCCTCTGTGCTTTGTATTTGCTGCCTTCTCTTCAGGAGTATCTGGAAGGGCCCAGGATAGTGCTCTATTCTCTGGGATCAAGCCTGGCACAGAGAATCCCTCAGAAATTGTTTATGAAATACTTCCCCCCTGAGCCCCACTTGTTGTGTACTGTCGAATCGGATCTGACTGGCACAGGAGGAGATTGCCCCTCCTTCTCCAGAGGAGCATCTGGTGGATTCGAACTGAGCGCCTTTGGGGTTGCAGTGCAGCTTCTTGCCATTAGGTCACCAGAGCTCCCTTAGAAATTGAATATGAGGTATTTTTAAGGACTCAACAGATCTCACCATTTAAGATGCTAGGATTCCAATGTTCTTTGAATCCAAGATTTCCCGTGTTCCAGCAGCCCCACACCCAGCACCCTCATGCTCTACCTCCCAGTGGCCACCAGGGGTCACCAGCTGCCTAGTCTGCCCAGGCCTCTCCCATCTCCTGGGACTTTCTGAGTTGGGTCTGTGCTGCTGCTAGTCTTTTATTGAGAACTTCACTTTTCATGTGGTACCTTACTTATTCCTCCAGTCACCTGTAGTGTTAGGTATCAGGTCTATTTTATGTGAAGATTAAGGTTCAGGGTAGATGTTCCCAGGGCAGGCCAGCTGCAAGGCTGTGCAGGGTTTGTTCAGTGGAGCGGTGGGACTAGAACCTAGTAAACTGCAAGCTTTGATTGCTCTTCACGTTTTCAGTTCTTGGCACCCAGGTGCACTGTCTTCCTGAACAGTGTCCCTAATGTCATAATAGGAAGTGCCTAAGATCACCTACATCCTTGCTGTTTACATGGGTTGAGGCCCAGAGAGAAGGTACGGGTTTGCATATGGCTTCATGGCAGAGCTGGGATAAGAACCTAGGCCCCCTGGATGCCCACTTCTAAGTTATGGTTTTAGTTCTCTTTTTTCCCTGAGACATCTTGGGTAAATCATAGTGACTTCCAGGTTCTCTGATCTCAGTGTCTGAAATGGGTCAGAAATCCCAACTCTCTGCTCCACCAAGATTCTCTGCCTCACCAGGTGAGGTGGCTCTTCCCCAGGTTGAGTACCACCTCTTCCATCTGCCTGCCCCAGCCTTGGCCTCCATGAGCGCTCCTTTGGAGGGGCAGAGAGAAAGCAAGCCCTGTTCTGAGCTCCTCCTGCCCCTTGGTCATCTTCTTGTCCTGAAAGATGCATGTGGCTGGAGTCTGCTGTTTAGAGTCTCCTCTACCAGATGAGAGCCCCATGGTGGCAGGGAGGTTTCTGAGACATCTGTCTCCAGTGCCCAGGGCAGGCTTTCTAAATTTACAACAGAGATGGAACAGAAGTGGTCCTTGGCCACCAAGGTTCATCTCTTACTTCTGTGGATAAATTCTGATGGCACAAGGTGTGGACCCACCTCAGTGCATGACCTACCGTGTCTGGCTGGACACAGGCTGTTCCCTTCTCTAGATGCACAACTAGTAACTCTGGGTATTTCCCACTTTGTCTATACATTATCTTATTTGAGCCTCTGAATATCAGAAGTTTGTATTATATTTTCATTCTTACTTTGAAGATAAAGCAAGGCCCAGTAAATTGAAGGGACAAGCCTGAGGCCACAGCTGATCTGAGGTGGTGCAGGGCCTGGGGGCTGGGCCTTTTAACCGTGGCTTCAGTGCCCTTTCTTTGCCCTTCATAGGAACAGATGAATAGAGCAAAGACAGTAGGCAGTTGTTGAAGGCTCAAACTCTCTTCATGGGTTCATATGATTCAGAATAAAACATTCCAGGAAAACATTCCCAGACCAGAGCTCTCAGAAATAGAAGTACTGCATGTGTTTTCTGGGCCACCTGGGACCAGCAGAACAGTCCAGAACAAGATGCTCTGGCATGCATATGATTTTTGGCAGCTCAGGCAAGAGCAAAGCAAACAAGAGTCTTAACAGAAGACTTGTATTGGTTGTGTCAAGTGGTAGGTTTTCAGAAGAGATTAAAATTCTTACCTTTCTAACCCCAAATTTCTGTAATATGGTTGGGAACAAATCAACTCCGGGATGAACAAAATAAATGCAAAGATTTAGAGCCACCAGATTTTGTCCTAGGGCTCCTTAGAGAGGGTTGGGCGATGATGGCCCCCAAGCCAAAAGCCGCAGCTGAGATCTTTGGGTGGCGAGTGGACAGGGCGTGTTGGGTTGTAATCACAGCTGAGGAGAGAGGAGTTTTGTTTTGTGCCAGTGGAAGGAGCCAGCAGACATTTTTTCTCCCCAATTTCTTGCCATTCTGAGAAATGTGCTCTTAAGTGTTGTGACGTCTTTGTGTGATGTTTCCACTCTGTATCCAGGACATGAACATTCCATTCTTTTAAAAGCAGGGGCTATGACAGCCAAAAATGGGACAGGCTAGACATTAAGTGATGGCAAAGCTTAGGTCCGATGGCATCCTCCTGCTGTGTCCCCATGTCTGGACTACAGCAGAGAGCTTAAGTAATTCTGTCAGGGAGGAAAGGGATGTAGGTGACATGCTGTCATTCTCGGGCTTGACTTCCTAGGGCGGGGCCACAATTTAGCTACTCCATGTGGTGGGGCAGTTAACTCTATCCCCTGGTCATGGATTAAGCCTTTGGTGGGAATAAGAGTCTCAAATTTAAGCAGCTTTCATTGGCAGGAGAGAGGATGAGATGGCCCTCGTCATATTTATGGCGAGACACTTGCACACACAAATTCCTTTCTTTGGGTCTCATGACAACTCTGACTATAAAGCTGGAAGACTAGTAAGGACCCAGTTCTGAAGGGGAGGACACCGAAGCTGGGAGGCATGTGGAGGGGAACATTTTTAGTGTGACCCAGTACCACAACTTTGTGTGCCCGAGTCCATGGCATTGTTCTCCGGTTCTAGAGGACACGGAAGTTCAAGTTCACACTGCTGTTATGTGGAGGCAGAGCTGAAATTCATACTCCAAAAGACCATGTTGCTACTTCCCGTATTATTGGTGGGAATATAAAAGGATACAATCATTTTGGAGGCTAAAATATTTAGCAAATCTAAATAGGCATATGTCTTTTTGGCCCTCAAATTCCACATTTATAAATTTATCCAGTATTTAGATTGGAACAAGTGTAAAGAAATGTGTAGAAGGATGTTTATTTTAACTTTCTGGCGGCAAAGGCTGGACGGAGCTTAAATGCCCATCCCTACAGGAATGGTAGGGAGGGAGCTCTGGTGGCCTAGTGGGTGAGGAGTTCTGCTGGCAGGCAGGCGATCCAAATCCAGCGATTTACAGTCTCTGAAAAGCCAATTGAGGGTCAGCTAAGCATTGGTTCTGACTTTGAGGCAATGAGTGAGTCTATAGGAAGGGTTAAATTATGATTTATTCAAATTGTTGTTATGCACGATTGAGTCAGAACTGACTCATAGCTGCTGTAGCAGGTTTTCCGAGACAGTAAAGAGGCACAGGAGGAGTTTGCCCATTGTTCTCCCACGAGCAGCTTGTGAGATTTGAATAGTGGTCCTGTGGACTGACAGCACAATTCCTTACCACTAAGCCACCAGAGCTCCGATGTGTTCAGATGATGGAATACAGTGCAGTCGTCAAGGGAATATGGTACACCAAGTGATTGTAGAGTCTGTTATGTAATGTAGGCCTGCACAGAGAAATGTCTGCTAACATACATACATATGTGCACAGCTCCTGTCTCTCCTTATGCAGGCAAAGCCCTGGTCCTCACAATGGCTGCCTGGAAGCCAGAGGCACTTACATCTTTTAACTCTTCTGTCCACTCTGAGACAGATGTTCTCCCAAAGGATTTGCTATTCGGTAGGTTCAGGAAGGGAGCAAAGAGCCAGAACACTGGCTTCCTAGAAGCTGCAATCTCTCCTTAGGGAATGTTAGTGATCCACCTCTCATACCTGCCCCACCCCAGCAGAACTGGCATTCCCTGCTTGGTGCTCTCCCAGCACACTGCCCAGTCCACCCTCGTGTATCTCATGCTTGTGTCCCTGTGTGTACCTGGCTTTTTCCCATAAGGAAAGGACCTTGAAAGTAAAGACTAGAGCTTATTTATCCTTGTCTCTAGCACTTAAGACTATTATACCCAGGGTGGCATCATTAAATGTTTATCACAATTCCCTCTCTCTCTGGCTGTTACAGGACTTTAATGTGAGCCCACTGAGTACCTTTAGGAGAGTCATTATCTATTTAGAAAACTTTGTTTACCAATTGTTTTAAACTAAGGAACCGTAAAAGCATAATTCCACATTTTTTTATTATTCAACATTTTATACATAATAAATACAAACTTTTTACAGCCACTGTAAAGAAAGCACATTTGCACAGAGAGGCCCTGTGAGCCCAGCCCTGTGCATGGTGAGGCTAGATTACATGTCCAGCAGGGAGGGGTTATTTTTAAAAAGGAGGCATATTTTTACAACTTTGATTTTTAAAATAAAATTAGCAGCTCTTCCAAAAAATACTTTAAAATATAACAAAAGATTTCAAATAATCTCTGAGAATGTGGAAAATCCAAATTGAAGGACAATTTGGCTAACTAAAGAGAAAATATCAGACAGGGTGGCAAAAAGAACTGCTTGGTTTAAGCACTTTGAGGATTTTAACATGTCAGCACACTTTTAAATCTTTAAAAAAACCTTACCCTTTTAATTTCTTTTTTAAACTTAAGAATAAGTTTGATAAAAAAAGAATGAAAAAAAAGACCTCAAATAGATCAACAGTTAAGAAATGCAAAAAACAAATACAAAAAAGCCCCCCAAAATCACAGAGAAGAGTCATCAGTGGATAGCATCACTGAAGTGATCAAATGACTAAAAATTTCTTCAGCTATGACCTTACTTTTAGTCAAAACCCCCATGGGGATGTTTGGCAAGCATTTCAAGTCTTAGAGATTCCCAGGAGGCCTCAATTTTTCAATGCATATGTGTTAACTTTTGGATAAAATTCTGCAAATTTGTCTGAATTCTTAAAAATAATAATAAAGAAGTAACTGGCAAATATCCCTCCATCCCTGGGTAACACTTGCTACCTTCTGTAGGCAGTTAAGAGCTGACCTCCTAAGGAGCCCTACGCCAGGACCCTGCTGAGGGGCTGACAAGCTGCTGTGGGCTCTGGCCTGCTGAGAATGCTCCTCCTGGCTCTCCCTGTGACTCTGGGAACCTGTTCTTTCTTCATCAGTTTGCCTTTGGGCAGTATGTGCAGTCCTTCCGTCCTCAGTCACAACCAGCTGGTTTCCTCCCTAAGCCCACAGGTTTTCCCTCCCAAGGAGATGTCCGGCTGGTGGGGCTTGGGAGGCAGCCTTCTCCATGGTGGGTGGCAGCTGGTCTGGACCAGCCACTATGCTGCTGGCTGAGCCAGAGCTCCACCTTCGGAATAGAGTAACATGAGGAAATTCCCCAGTAGAGAAGATCAGCCATGCAAATTTGTGCCTTCAACTTACCTAAACATTCGGAGTCTTAACGATACTGGCTGGGGTCAGAAAAGTATATGCCACGAAAATTAAGATGAAAAGATATCCAAATACAAAAAGAGTATTATGTCGGCTCATTTCAGATCTGGAAACTTCCATTTCTGCTTTAGCCAGAAATAGCCTTTTTATTAGTCTATGTGATGAACAAGATGACTAGCCCAGCCCCTCCATATTAGCTCCACTAATACTAAATGAATGGTATAAATATTAATACAAAGGACACTGTTACTGTTTTAAATCTGTTAGCTGTGGAAGAGATGTGCATTTATGCAATTGGCGCTAAAGTCAGGGCAGTCCATTTATTTTCCAATAAAGTTTCACTTTCTCTTTCTGAGCATTAATTGCGGTGAGGAACCAGCCTCTCCTGAAATCCCTTCTTCTGATGCTTTATATGACCACCATGATCTGATTAATACTTAATCAGATGAACAAAAAGTCATGTGAAGAAAGATGAGAATCTCTGCCACGTCCTCGTGGCCACAGTAATATACTGTACGCGTGCACATGACCAGTATCTCTGTGACTGTGCCCCGGCCCTGAGGCCTGGTTTTGAGTCCCATATAAAAACGGACCACTGTGAGGCATGAGGGCCTCCCCCTCTGCCCCTAGCGACCGCTAGAATTTGTGCTACAGTAAGAGAGATGACGTAGAAAATGACAACAAAAAGGCACAAAATATTCATAAATGTGGGAGAAGTCCACCAAGCCACCCAGTCACATACAATCCTTCTTGAGTTTGCTCTATTCAAGAGTCATCATCATGCAAAGGTGCCTAACAACAAGCCTGGCCAGACTCCAAGCCTGGCCTTGATTGTAGCAGTCGTCATGGAATTCGCCATCATCACACCAGCGTGATCTCCACATCCTCAATCTTCTCTGACGGCCTTCGGTGGTTCTGCGTGGGTGGAGGGGGTGCTGCCCGGACCTGAGCAGGGACACAATAATGTGGATTCTATATCTCAAAGAAATAAAAGCTGCCCCATGAACAGATATATGTATACCCTTGTTCGGTGCAGCATTACTTACAATAGCAAACAGAAGAAAACAACCTAAGTGTCTACCCACAAATGAGCAGCTACAGAAACTATGGTACATTCACACAGTGAAGTACTATGCAATAATTAAGAATTAATGAAATGTAGGGAACTCTGGTGGCCTAGTGCAAGAGCCTGCACTGCAAACCCAAAGGTGCACAGTTTGAATCAACCAGATGCTTCACTGGAGAAGGAGGGGCAATCTCCCCCCTGTGCCAGTTGGATCCAATTCAACAGCACACAGCAAATAATTGGGGGAGGAAAAAAAGGAATGGGGTGGAGGTAGGGAGGAAAATGTGCAACAATGAATGAATGGAAATTCAAGTTCTCTAATAAACTTTCATCAAAATCTCAATTTAAAAAAGGAACTTTATGTATAAAAAGAATTAACAAAACACTGTATAACACAGATGCACCTACAAACCAGTGTGCAAAGTGAAAGAAATCAGCTGAAGAAGGACTATTATGTATGAGGCTGCTAAGACAAAAAACTAAGGACACCACAACAAGATAAAGGTAAACAATCCAATAGAAAAGTGGACACAGGATATGAACAGACACTTCATGGAAGAAGACATTCAGATGAATGTGCTAACATGTACATGAAGAAATGTTCAAAATCCCTAGCTCTAAGAGAGATGCAAATTAAAACAACTATGAGATACCATCTCACCTCAGTAAGAATAGCAAAATTTAACAGAACAGCAAACAAGAAATGCTGGTAAGGTTGTGGAGAAACTGGAACCTTTATTCACTGTTGGTGGGAGTGTAAAATGGTGCAACCACTGTGGAGGGTGGTGTGGTACTTTCTCAAAAAGTTGCAAATAGAGATACCATTTGACCCCGCAATTCCACTACTGGGAATATACCCCCAAAGAGACCATAACTGACATCCAAGCAGATATATGCACACCCATGTTTATCGGGGCTTTGTTCACAATAGCAAGGAGTTGGAAACAACTAAGTGCCCATCAACAAACAAATGGATAGAGAAGCTATGGTATATACAAACAATGGAATAAAGACTACAGTGCATTGAAAAACAAGGAACTCATGCAATATTATTCAAAATGGGTGACCCTGGAGGACATTATGCTGAGTGAAGTACCTCAGTCACAAAAGGACAAATACTGCATGGTGCCACTGTTGTAAACAGGACTGACCTCAGGGTTGGGGGGAGACTGAGAAAGATGGGTTCAATAATGTATACTGCATTGAAACAGATGAGGGAGAAAACTGTTTTAAAGGGATATGTAATTAGGTATTTTTGTCATGACAGGTGTCTTAGAGCAAAGGCTACAGGGTGGAGTGGACCTGGGGGAGGGTTTGTAAAACAATGAAAGACGTTTTCTTTTACTTTTCCAATAGGGTAGTGTACTAGGGGGGAAGGTTGGGAGGGGAGAAAAGTGCAACAATGAATGAATGGAAATCCAAAGTCTCTATAAATTTTTACTGAAATTAATAATAAATTTAAATTAAAAAATTTAAAAAAAAGAAAGAAAAAAAGCACTAAGGAAAGGTTTACATGTAGAATCATTCTTGATGGTTATAGAGATGGGAGGGTAGAGAGAAGGGAATAAAAACTAATAAACATACGTTTATTAGGTGGGTGAAGATAGACGCAATATATAATAAGGGTTGATCTGATATTATAATCATATTAATCAACAGCAATGTTATAAAGCAAGATGCATATGAATGAGCAAATGAAAAACCAGTATGATTATAAGCTTTCGGTCATATCACACCCCCCCCCACTCCCCCAAGGACAAGAGCACCCCAGGATCACAGACCTGCTTTGAGCATGCACTTTCCATCTAATCCTATTTTCCACACTAAGGAGTTGGTGGCATTCTCGCCTTTCATGTGGAAGACTGGCCACATGCCAGTGTGCCTCAGGGGTGGTCAGCAGTCGTCTGTCAGTGAAGGTTTGCATATGCTATGGTGCTGATCAGGTTTCAGAGAAGCAGTAGGAAGGCAGGCCTCATAATCTACGTCTGAAAACCAGTCAATGAAATCCCTATAGGTCACGATGGTCCAATGCCACTGTGCGTGAAGTCACCGTGAGTCAGGGAGGCTAAAATAAAAAAGAGCTGCTATTCTGGATACAGGGACAAATCCATGAATTAGGTTCTGGCACAGGCAGAGAGCTTTATGGGTACAACAATCCTGAGTACAAGAAGCACTGGCCCCTCAAAGCCTTTTCCAAAGCAGTAGTTGTGATAGCAAGTGAGAGCAATCAGAGAACTGAAAACACTCCAGCAAGTTTTGAGTACAAAGTTACAAGACACACAGCTAGAGAGGGAGCTGGGGAAGAAACCGGAGCTTTATTCTATAGGCAACAAGTTTTTGGTAGACTACAAGTAAGGGAGCGGCACTATCAGATCTGTGAAAAGATGACATTAGTGACAGTTTGCTGTCAAGGACTGGAGGGAGATGAGTACATGTAGGAAGACAGCTCAAAGGACATGTGTCGTCATCTGAATAAGTGTTGTGGTTAGCCTGATCTAGATCATGGCAGTGGGAGAGGACCGAAGCAGAAAGACAGGGAGCCATCTCTGAGACAGCCCGGCAGCACTGAGTGATGACTGAGGGAGGCAGGGCCAGAACAGCAGCTGGGGACTAGTAGGAAGGGAGTTCCCACTCACTAAGACAGGTAACATAGAAAAAGACACATGTCCAGGGAAAAGATGATCAACTCATTTTTCTTGAGTTTTGGGGGGCTGGGATATCTATACTGTAAATATGCACAAATCCAAACCTCAGAGATGAGAGGGCAGCCATCAATACGGATGTTGTCAGAGTATAAATCGATACAAGCCAGGGAATAGGTGACATTACACAAGGAACATGAGTTCAATGACAACAGAAGCAGCTCAGGGAGGAACTCTGAAAGGTAGCATTTAGGAGAATGAAAATGAAAATAAAAGGGTGAGAAAGGACGAGAGTGAGGTAAAAGGGAAAACTCAGGCAGCGAGGCAGGGCAAATCCACCACCTCTCCACCCCCACTGCTACCCTCCAGTCCCCACTCCTAGCCTCCAGCCCACACGCCTAGCCTCCAGTCCACACTCCTAGCCCCCACACTTCTAGCCTCCAGCCCACACGCCTAGCCTCCAGCCCACACGCCTAGCCTCCAGTCCACACTCCTAGCCCCCAGCCCACACGCCTAGCCTCCAGTCCACACTCCTAGCCTCCAGCC